CTTGCCTTAACAGGAGGTAGGACCAAGCTGAGACCATGGATAAATCCCAGCTGCCAGGGTGTCCCTGGCCTCTCCATCACTGCTGAGTTGTGCTGAAAGCAACCCAAGGACCTCAAAAAGAGAAACCCTTGTGTGATTTTTGGGTCCTCTCACTAGTCCCTAGAGCAGTTCAGGCTTGTGGCATAGAGCCATGGTCTGAACTTTGGTTTCTTTGCTCCAACCAAGGTAGCAGCCGAGCAGCCAGCTCTGCTCCGTGGATAACACCAGATCGTTTGCAGATCTAAATTTTTGTTTCCTCAAATGATCTGTATGTTTTGGCAGTTATGTCTTGTGATGATGGATCGCTTTCAATTTCATCAGAAGTAGGCAAAAACACCTGCTATTTTCATATGTTTTGTGCACTTTGTTATGTAACAGCTTTTTAGAAAATATGTATATTGTTGCACTTAAATGATATTAATCTGTTTGCTTGTCGGCTTGTTTTCCAATGCAATGCTGGTAGAATTATTGCTTTATTACTCGTTTAACATCATGGATGAAGGCTGGTCCACACCGTGGTCATGGGAAGTTAGAGTGGAGGCTGCTGTCCTCACACTGTCCTGATGTCCACGGCATCAGTGACAAGAATTGCTCCTGACATTAATATTGTATTAAGCTATGGCTTTGTTTACACAAAGTGTCAGGAATAACTTTTATCTCGGATTTGTACAAAGTGATCAGTGCATGCAGACAGCCTACATATGATTTAATTAATCAGCCCATTGCCCTTATCGCTCTACATGCAAATTCCAGATAGAGCTGCAGATACTGAAACTGCAAACAGAGAACACTATTGAACTTGGAGATTTTTCCTCTGATTTTTTTATTATTATTATTATTTTTCAAACATAATTCTCATTTCCGTTGGTAGATAAAAAGATTAAGATAACGTATGGATTTGAGGAATGACAGGCCAGACCCAAAATAGGTATTTCCCTGAAAGAAGAGATGCTGCCTTGGACAAGGTAAAGGTGTGCAGTGTATTTTCTTCTTAACAAACATCCCGTTTTATTAGCAAGGATGTTTTAAGTATAGTTTGCAATAAAGCTGGTTCCTTATCTTTTGAAAGCTATTTAAATGGTGGGCAAGCAAGTTTTCTGTAGATCACACAATTACGTTTGTTCTGGCTTTATCTTTGCTCCTTCCTCACGAGCCCTGTCCAGACTGCAAGTCACTGCCTGCCTGGGTGGAAGGCAAAACCCAACCGCGTTATTTAAAATTCTTCGAACAATTTAATGGGCTGCAATTGTTTAATTCCCTATAAAATAGGGCTAGAGCTGGTGAGCAAAAACCAAGACACACTCTCCACTGCGGTAGTGGTTCCCATAGGAGGGAAATGGATTTAGAATCATTGAATCATAGATTTATTATGGTTCAAAAAGACTTTCCAGATCATCAAGTCCAACCATAAACCCCTCACCTGCATGCCTAGTACTTATGATTTCCTCCTTCCTGGAATTCTGGCTGGTTTCAGAGGGATCTCTCTTTGCAACCGCTGTTTCTTCCTCCTACCTGGGAAGGTTTCTCCGTGGTGGCTGGAGTTGGCTTAAGCCATCCATATAGCTTCAGCATATTCTTTTTTTTTTTTTTTTTCTCAGTAGAAAAATGCAAGCTCAATACTCTATTTAGACATAAACTCAAGGTCTCATGTAAGCCTGCGAGTGTTTAATATTTAAGAAAAACATAACATTTCACTATAGTGATGATGAAACTGCAGTCAGTGCTGCCCTGGGGAGCAGCTGATGCTGGGGCTGGGACCAGCAATTGCAGCATCGAACGGGGCTGATATTTGAGGCCAGGAAATAATTGGGTTCTGAGATAAGAGAGCGGCAAGAGGATCATTTAAATTCTTGCATTCCCCTGGGAATAATGCAATGCAGTGGTGTTAAAACTATAAGGAATTTGTTTCTATTTTTTTGCAAAGCCTGTGACAGCTATGAAACTTTAAAGTGAATCCTGGAAAGCCTGTTTGGACTCATGGTACAGCCTAGTAAAGCTGCCAGATTAGCTCTGGGAGGCTGGGCTTTACGCCGGGACCCAGATTCAGTCCAAATAAAGACTTCCTTCCATTTCTAGTTCAATTTTTTTGAGACTGTAACTGTGGGAAATACCAGAGCCCAAAGTGGTTAGGAAAAAGCGGGATGAGTATTGCATGTGTTTTGGTTCCTGGGCAAGCCAGCGATAATTGAGGCTGTTCTAGAAGAATGTCTGTCGTTCTGGTTTTACACCTGTTAATTCTGAGTTTATAGGTGTGTGTGAACAGACACCCGGTGATTTTCGGTGGCACTAGCAGGCGTCTTGTCCCCGAGCGCGATAGATCTGTCACAGCGTGAGGCATGGGGTTTGCCTGGTGACTCTGGGGTCTGCAAGGGAGTTGCAATCAGTTTTGGTCTATTTTGTAGTCCCATGGTCTATTTTGTAGTTCCGTAAGTGGCTTTTCGATGCTCCTTTTCCTGCCTCCTTTCCCGCATTCCCTCCTTTTTCCTGCCTCCTTTTTCCTGCCTCCTTTTTCCTGCCTCCTTTCCCGCATTCCCTCCTGTTCCCTCCCTCCTTTCCCGCGTTCCCTCCTTTCCCGCATTCCCTCCTTTCCCGCATTCCCTTAGAATCTGGAGTAGTTCCGTGCATTTAGTTTTGCTGTGGTTTGCTGTGAGATTCCCCTCCTGCTGCAGGGGCCGGTGGCTCCGTCTCTCCGGCCACGCTGCCCGTGACACTCGTGTAAACTGCGCTGTTCTACATGCAATAAAACCTCTAACAAAAGTGATTCAGTTTCGTTGTTGCTATCTCCTCAATGCACAACACAGAAATTCAGGGTGACTGTCATCTGACAGCAAATCAGCTCCAGAAGGATGACGAGGTGAGACCTGGCAGAGCCCACAACACTGAGAGCTGCCCAAAACCCAAGGGAAGATATTTCTGCTCTTTAATCTTCAGGGTGGGCATTTTTCTCTTTGAATTTTCATTTTTCTCCATGCATTTGTCCAATATAAACTTGCAGCATCCACCAAATGTCCTGAGGCAAAAAAATACCCTGTAACTCAATTTTACACAGGGTCAACAAGTATCTCCCTAGGTTTGACCAGCAAGATTCATTTAATTCATATCAACACTGTCCTGTAGGATTTACCAGTTAGTGTACTAAAGATATGACTGAGTTTAAGATTGTTTTAAATGTATAGCTTTGTTAGCAGAGGTTTTTATTTTAATCTTTATTTACCTCTTGGCACGGTCACAAGGCACACTCCTGTGGTTGTGCATATATATGATGCAGAAATTAAAATCACTTTTTTTTATTATTTTATTTTTGCCCAAATCACTGTCTTTCCAGGCTGTGTAGGTGTTTTCCAAATGTACACACCATTTCTACTTAAAAGAAATTGCCTCTTGAGATAAGATGTATTATGGCCTTTGTATCAAGCTATAACCAGGTGTTGCGTGCTGCCATCCTGCACATTTTAATAGTGACATTTTATTATCAGAGATAATTTAGAAAACTTCTGGAAAAAGTAAAATTTCTCCTCATACAACTACCTTTTCATCTTGAAGCCTAACGCGCTGACTTAGGGCAGTAAAGACTAAAAGGATGAGCCACGAGGAGGGCTTTCAATATCACATTTTTATTTTAAGCACATCCTAACAGTTTACCTGGGCAGCAATTCAGGGCAATGCTACTTTGATCTATTTGCAGCTATTTTCTCTACGTGCAAGAAAATACTCCTCGGCATCTGCGGTTTCAATGGCTGTGAGTTAATTTGGGCTAGTAGCCGATGCCAGGGGCTTTGCCATGAGGTCCTGGGACCCTTGGAGAAGAGCAACGCTGCTTTTCCCTGGAGCAAGCCTTGCTGGGGTCCGAGTCCTGTACGTTTTCCCAGGTTTCTCCCTTTCCCATTGGGATTGGTACGTTGGAGCCGCGTCCTTCTGCAGAGCAGTGATTGGGGTCCTCAGGGTAAACACAGTTTGTTTAGACGTTCGCTTTCTGGATGAAGCTCCAGGAGTAGCTCATGAGTCAATGCTGCAGAATGTCCCCTGCTTATGGACAGTCCTGGTTGGTGGGGAGAAGTGACCGAGAAGCGCAGAGCTTGGCAATACCCATTCCTGATCCCATGCAATCCATGCTGGCTCTCGTGCATAGGAGTCTCATTTGCAAAATACGTTTTCCCTGAGCTTTAATTGAAATGCAGGCACCTCTGGGGCATCTTTCTGGGTCACTTTTATTCTCACGCTGTACTTCCAAACTGAGGAAAGGGGTTGGTAAATGCAGATGCCCGGGTTAGCTGTGTGCCAGCTGCCCTCACCTCTACCTGTCTGGTCCCCTCAGCTTGGTGGTGGCTGGCTTGGGTCCACAGAATCCTTATGGTTGGAAAGGACCTTCAAGATCATCAAGTCCAGCCGTAAGAGATGCTCAGTGCTGCAAAAGGGGCTGCTGAAGGTCTAGCCGGGCAATCCCAGCAGCTCCATGAGGAGGCAGCACTGCAGGTATTAGGGCATGCCACTTAGTGCCATGCATATTAAGGGTGTTTAAGGTGAAACAAAGAAATCCAAATGCAATGTAGCTGTCTTGAAAACCTGCTGCTATTCTCCTCTTGATATGCTGCATGTGTCGCTTTAGAGTGGATCTGAGTAAAGTTAATGCCAGGCAGCACCATGCAAACCAAACCAAAGAATGTGGTTATACAATGACAACTGAATGTGATATTTAATTTGGTGAATGCTTTGGGGGAAAGGTGGAAGGAGGAGTGGAGCTTGCATGCCCACCTGAAGCATTGCCAAATTGCTCCTTTAGCTGCTGGAAAAGCCCGTCACGGCAGGCAGAGGTGCAGGAGCTCACGGAGCCCCTTGCAGATGCCATCCCCGGTGCCGCAGGGTTCCAATATCCCCTGGTTTTCTCCAAAAATGACGGCCTCGCTTCCCAGATTATTTCCTTTTCTTTTATTCCTTTCATTTCTTTTCTCTCTATGTTTCAGATTATGCTTGGCCTTTGCCTAAACAGTTGTGCCCTATATGGATTTCCCTAGATGTGCTCTTTTCAACTGCATCTATAATGCATCTCTGTGCCATCTCTCTTGATCGGTATGTAGCAATACGCAATCCCATTGAGCACAGCCGCTTCAATTCCCGCACCAAGGCTATTATGAAAATTGCTGCAGTTTGGACCATATCCATAGGTAAGCAATGCGGCTCACGATCTAACCGCGGCTTAATTTATAATAGCATTCCTCCCATTTTCATTTAGGATTTTTTTTTTTTCCTGAGAATACTCCAATTAATTTACCTGGCCTGCATGAGTGAATATAACAAATGATTGCTGGGAAGCAGAAATCTTTCTCTGGGACTGGTCACTGGCTGAGATAAGGAGTGATTTTTCAGAAGCCCGTTGCTTCCAACGCGCTGCTGCTGTATGCGTATCAATATGCCAATAAGGGCACTTACGCAGACGAATGGAGCCATAAAACTGCTGCATAAACAAAGCGGCAAATAGCATTAGCAAAAAGGGAATAAAACGCTGCCGATGCGCAGTGCAACTTGCAGGGGAGGTAACGCAGTGGCTGAGGATGGCTACGAGCCAGGGATTTATTGCTGCTCCCGGTCCTGCTGCAGCTGGAGCGCGGCGAGTGCCGAGCCAGCGAGTTGGAAGGTGCCATGAATGAGGAGGAGACATAAAAGAAGATACTTCCTTATTACATGGATAAAAATGAGACATAAAGCAGTAAAACAAGAAAGAAAAGGGGAAAAAAGGCATAACAATATGACTGTGTAATATCAGGAATTATGTGACTTGTGTTTTGGGGAGGAAGCGTTCCAGCGTGCTGTGTGAGAGGCATTGAGACTAGGTCAGAGGAATTGTGTGACCTGTTCCCCCTGCTATATTGCTTTTTTTGCTTCAATAACAAGCAATCTTGCACAGATTTAACATTTACCTTTGCTCTCATATTGCGGTTGTGACTTTCAGCCCTGTATTTCAAGGAAAATAGTGTTGTGGGTATGTGAACTTCCCTGAGTCTCTGCCTGCATTACAGATGGAACGTGATGCCTTATGTCAGGGTGCTGCAGGGCTACTTGTAAAGACATTTGCTGAGTTCTGGGGGAAAAAAAGGCCAAGAAATAGCAGATGCATAGCTCTTTCAGAGCATAATACTCTGTTGGAAACACCTTTCGGTGTGCAAATAGAGCCAACCCACTGATGTCTTCCCTTGCACCCATTTCCTTGAAGGCATGGGCAGAATTGATAGCTCCAAAGGATTTGTTCAGCACGTGGAGCTCCCAAATGCTGTTGAATTTCTATTCTTTCCAGTGTATCTGATAGGGCTCATCCACTTGTCTTTGTTGTTGTTGTTTTTCCCCAAATGGTTGCATTAAATGGGGAAGAATGTTTAGTATATGCTTACTTTAGCATAACTATTTTTGCACCATAACTGCAGAAATGGAATAGACAGGGGAATAGACTGAACAGGAAATAAGAGAAGAGCCCACCCAAAGTAGATGGTTATCTTACAGCTCTTACCCATCCATCACTTGAAAAATCTGAAAAGCTTCACGATTTTTGAGAATATGAAATTGGTTAAGCAAATCCCTTCAATATGAACTGTCCTGAAAGAATCTGTGCGTTCTTGTTCACACTTAAATACCAAATTCAAGGCAGCAGTTAAGCAGATACTGCTCTGGTATGTGTGTTATTAAATCATGCTTCGGTTGGGCCAAAGTAACTTCTACATGTATCTGGAGTCCTGAATTTTAATTCTGAATCAGAATTTAAAATAGAAAGAAAAAAGCATGTATGTATCCCAGTGTAGTAGCTTTTGCTTTCTACTTTCCTGAAATTTTAGTGCTAACAGCAAAATATCTAAGGTTGGTTCTTTGATCACTGAGCTCTGGGTTTGGAAGGTTGCACGAGCCCAGACTCCTGGTTGGAGCTGTTCCCAAATGGGTCTAAAGTGCATTGCAGCCACTCGTCTTGGATTTTAGCAAATGCAACCTGACTTTTTGTATGACTTTTTGTGTACAGTTACAGAAGAAGTGGATGCTGCAAGGTGCACCTTGTGCAGAGGAGCTTGGTGGCAGATAGCCAGGTTGGAAAGAGGAATATTAGCCACTGAAACATCCACGCAGTCAAAATGAAAATGCTATGAGCTTGCTGGCACAGCCTTAATGCTGTTTCAGGTTTGCACCGTCGCACGGACAAAGGTTTTCTTTAGGAATGTGGATGCAGCCCATGTTGTGTCCTTGCTCCAGCCCATCGTGTCAGACTCCCCGTGTCCTTGCTCCAACAAAGGGGCCTTAAGGCCACCCTGACGTGCTGCTTTTTCTAGTAGTTTAAAGAGAGGAGCTGCCTCTACACAGGAACGATAAGGAAGTCATTGACCTTCCTCCCTGCATGATACAGGAGGAAGATTTACTGGGTAATGTCACTGCGAGAGAAATAGCACTTGGGAGCTCTAAGAGAATCAACTTCAGGGGGGTTATCTGGATGGGAGAACTGCATACATCACTTCTGATGGAAATCCAAGTAGGATGTTTTAATTGTGGAGCTCCTTTTGGCTTAACTGTGTGCCCGCGTGCTGAGCAGGGTGTTTCTCTCTGCTCCTTTTCCAAGGGTAGAAACAAACTCTAAGCTTGGCCGCTTGCTAGAGGATGCTGAAATCACAAACTTTGTCTCACAGTTTTACTCCGTTAGCAGCAGTTGGACTCCGTTTACCTGCAGTTTCCTGCATCCTTAGCTCCAAGATCAGCTCCAAACTCTGCTGCTGACTCCTGCGCCCAAGCAGATCTCGCATGGTTGCTTTTCCTACCATAGAAAATAGGCAGTTTCTCAATTGAACATGAGATTTCTGATTCTGCTGCTGCGCTAACCGGGCACTACGCTGGTTGCAGCAAAACTGGAAATCCCAGATTTCCTCTGTTCCGCTTCCCTCTGCGCACTGGTTTTATTTCATCCCTCTTAGTTTCACAGGTAAAGCGATTATGAAGCCTTCTTTAGAGGCTGCTAAACTCCCTGAGCTCTTAATGCTCTCAACACCTCCCTTGCACCACCTAATGCCAAAGCCACCAGCATCTCGGGAATGTTTTTGGATGAGCAGCCCAAAGCTGCAAGCTCTCATCAGGCAGGACTTTATGTGTCCATGAGCTTTGGGATGCTCCATGCCTTGTTTATGCATATTAATCTTCAATGCTTTTTCTTAGCATTTCAGGAATATATGTGGCAAACAACACCATTTTTCTTTTTATTTTTTGGTTTGAAAACAGAATAAGTAATAAAAAAGGCAATGTGACTTTTATGGTAATTACGGTAATGCCATACACAATGGTATATGTGTTGTTAAAAATAGGCTTTTTTTTCTTCTCTTTCTCTCTCTGCCTTGCTAATGATAATACAGTTTTGTTTTGTGTAGCTATCCTGTCATTGGGTATATAATAAACTGTTCAGCTTTAAAGGGGGATTTTACATTCCTATTTAGCCATCTAACCATTTTGTTGTTTTGAGGAAATTTATTTGTATAAAGATGAAAGGTATGCGCTGTAAGGACCAGTAAATGCTCCACTCAGGTGAAATGCCTGCATTTCTCATAGCTTTTTTGCTTCTACACTGAATGTTCCTTTCCTGAGCAGTCCCAAGCATGTAGGTTTCCATCAGTGGACATCCAGGTATCAGCTGAGCCTGTCTCCCTGCGAATAATCCTGGTTGGAGATGATGCTCAGGTTGAGGAATGTGCTTAGAGTGATACCAGCTGCATTAAGAGGAATTGTGTTCTTTATATAGAACAAGAGCAGGTTATGCATGAAAGGAAAGGGTAGTGATCATCTGCAATGACGCTCAGAACGTGGCTCACTCACGTTCTTCAAGCTCTATTTGTTTGGGCTTGTTTTGGTACCCACAGGTGTGTCCATCTGGGCTGAGGGACTTCAGGGACATCAAGGTGTTCCCGAGGCGCACGTGTGGAGCAGTGCTCACACCTGGGAAGCTTTTCTGCAGGACAAACAAAATGGGACACGGGTTTCATGCGGAGAAAACGGCAAAACCACGGCTAATAGTGAAGGCAAACGACATTAATGTATTTTTATCTTTATGCGTTTGACATTAAGTGTTTGGGAGTGGATATTGGACTGGAATTCTTCCCTCATGGGTTAGAGGGTCATAACGCACATTAAAATCATCAGTGTTTGGTTGTCCTACAGCGGGTGTGTGGGAGGTCCCAGCTTTGGGGGTCTCGGTGCCTCATTTGTGCAGGTTGGCAGGGCCCTGTCCATCGAGTCTGGGCC